AGATTATCAGATTCCCGGTAACGGAACCAATTTGTTTAACCAAAAATCTGAGTCCTTGGTCAAGACTAAACAGAAATTCGGGTTACTAATAATCAGGAGACGAAAACAAAATACTTTTGAGAATGATGGTAAAGCAGTAAACAGTTTTGTATTTTAGTAAGATCCCAATATATTTCGTATCCTTACAAATGGTGAGTTCTTCTCCTTTTATATCTAATCCTAGGGGAAGAGGTAATGTCTTTGTCTTAATGAGGCAATTATGAGCAATAAATGACATTAAAAGAAACGTTACACAATCATTTCTTTTTAAATATCAAATATTCTAACGTATTTGATATTTAATGCTATATTTAAACTCTTTTACGTCATCAGATTCGTATCTTCAACTTCTTCCGATCTTCGGTCTTTAGATGACTTGGATAGGTACGAGACTCGTACCTATTTTAGTAACGGTCCGCACCAATGTTGCTTTCTTTTTCCCTTATCTATTGTCACCCGTGCCTCTTGGCTATTTATTGTGTTTTGACCGTTTGACCAGTCCACGTGTCATGCCACGTCACCTACAATATAAATTCATTTTTTCCCAATACAGTGCTAAATGACGGAAAGAAATACCAAGCTACGACGAACATAAAATGGAGCCATATACGAGTTGTTAGAATAAAGTGAATAAATAATCTGTGCGAAAGTACCTAGTAGGTGTGGCAAAATGGTTGAAAGAAAATAGTTAACCGCCCATATTATTCACTAAAAAATGGGTTGGATAATGAACTTTTTAAAAACGGGTCAAATATGGATAAGAACCATATTATCCATTTAGAAAATGGATAACCAATTGGTCTAGCTTTTACATTTGTAAAGCCTCAAATTGGGGGTTCCTCAAGTTAGAGAGACTAAGAATTCTCCCAAAAGTGATCATATACAAGAAGTCATGGATAATATGGGTAACTCGTATTATCCGCCGGTTAACCCGTTTTTTATCCGTATTAAATATAGGTCGGGTCGGATAAAACAAGTTAAATAGTAATCTAATATTATTCAACCTCTTCGTTTAACCTGTCACCCTCAATTATTCAAAATTCTTAATTCTTTTGAATGATTAAAATTAAACGAAATCACAATCACTTCGTCTCCACTAAGACAAATTAGGATTTAATTATCCTGGGCTTTGGATGGAGGCTATTCTTTGCAAAGCTCACATATCAAAATAGAAATCTCCAATTTAATCAACACACTATCAGCTCTGACCAGACTAATATTCAAATAACAGAGGAATCAACACAAACAAATAACCGAGAAAATACTCATATGCATCAGTAATTGTGTAGAAACCATCCAAAGCAACATATTAAGCAGTAATACAACGAAAAGATGAAAAAAATAGCAAAAAGCCAAAAATATATGCTTATGTATGTAAGCTACATTATTCTAAAACCAAAACAATGGACAGAGAAGATCAATCACAGCCACAATTCTAGTTATCTACACTGAAAATAAAAATAAAAACAAAAACATCAATAACATAAACATACATACATACATACATATTGTTGAAGTTACAAGTGGTCTAGCGGCCCAACACAAAATTGAAGGCCAACTTGAAATACTTAGTTGTATATATAAGTTAACTTACAAGTGTAGCCACTTTTTTGATAGAGATAGCCATTCTTTATTAGTTATATACAAAGTACATAGTTCTAGAAGATCGAGAAAGATTTCTATGTAAGAAACATATCAGAAATAAGAGTTCATTTTTCTCTCTCTTCGTGAATAGGGTTCACCCCTTTATTTCATCAAATTACTTCGATCCTTGTGCGTAACATGGTATCAGAGCCCTAATTTGGGTGAATAGGAGCATCGGCCGTCGTCCGATGTTACCCTTGACAGACAATTTTGGAGTTTTTTTTGGTTTCCCAGTGTAGAGTTTGGTGACATTTGTAGTTGTTACTGATAACCTCTTAGTTCTACAAATTCAAAGGTTTTGCTCCTTCGATTTGCTGGAGAAAGCTGCTGATTTGGTGGAGAAGGCTGGTACTTTCTTCAATTTTGCTATCAATTTTTGTTATTCAATTTGAATTTGAAACCCTTGTTTCTTAAATCTGCTATGGCTCCATTAGAAACCTCATCTGACACTTCTACTTCTACCTTACCTAATAATTTGGTTACTGTTGAGCCCTCAAACCCATTGTACCTCTATCCCACTGACAACTCTGGTACTATCATCGTTGCCGATCGATTCAACGGTATGGGATATGGAAGTTGGAGAAGGGGAATGTTGATCGGTTTGTCGTGTAAGAATAAGCTCGGCATAATCAATGGGACTATTTCCAAACCTAATGTTACATCTCCATTCTATGAGCCTTGGTGTCGATGTAACGACATGGTAATTGCTTCGATACTGAATAGTTTGGAAACTGAAATTAGGGAAAGTGTTATGTATACAGAGTCAGCTACAAAGTTATGGAAGGACATTGAGAAACGATATGGACAGCCCAATGGGAGCAAAATGTATCAGATCTGTAAGGCTCTATCATCTATTTCTCAAGGAGCTTCAAATATTGCTTCCTACTTTTTCAGAATTAAGAAGTTATGGGATGAGCTAGCATATTCCATAACATATCCTGATTGTGTGTGTGGATGTAAAGAGGCGTTTCAAAAATTGGAAGAAGATCAGAAGCTTCATTAGTTCCTTATGGGTTTGAACGACAATTATTCTACTATCAGGAGGAACATTCTGGCCTTGAAACCTCTTCCAGACGTAGATACTGCGTATGCTATGCTAGTTAATGATGAAAGTCAATGTGAGACACAAGTTTTATTTCCATATTTCTCTTCCGAGTCTGCTTCTTTCTCCACTGGTGTTCAGAAACCATATATTGGTTCTTCCCCTGTTGGCATCCAGAAAACTTATTCACAAAAGGTTAATTTTGATTCTAAAAGGGCAAGTGTCATATGCAAAAAAGCCTGGCCACACCATAGAAAAATGTTACAAACTTTATGGGTATCCCAACACTTTTCAGAACACTGTCCAGTCCAATAGGTTTAAGAAGCTTGCTGGTTATGCTCATGTTTCAGAGGCTCAGAGTCTGGGACCAACAGATGGGTGTGCTTCTGATAATAGGATTGAACACTTTGATTCTAAGAACCATGGTTTCACAAAGGAACAGTATGAACACTTGATGAACATGTTTCAACAGTCCAAGTTCTCTCATGATGCTAGTGCTTCTGGATCTGCCAACTTTGCAGGTTTGGTACATTGTGTTGATACTAGAAATTGTTGTGTGTTTACTTGCAATCTTTCTCGCTTAGCTGGTAATCCTTGGATAATAGATTCAGGTGCTACAAATCATATGACTCCTAAAAATCTCTCTTAATAAATATTAAACCACTAGCAATCCCTTACCTTGTCATCCTTCCCAATGGTTATAGGGTGAAGGTAACTTGTTCTGGCACACTTCCTTTATCTAATGTCTTGATTTTGGAAAATGTTTTACTTGTACCTTCTTTCCAGTACAATTTAGTTTCCCTACATCATCTCTTATTACAACTTCATTGTAATGCTTTATTTTCTGCCTATGATTGTGTCTTACAGGGCCTTTCTCTGAAGAGGTCACTGGTTCTTGGTAAAATCTCAAATGGACTTTATCTGCTACAATCCACCCCTACCTCAATTTCTGCTACTTTGTTAGCGGAAACGTAAAAGAAAGAACACAAGATTTAACGTGGTTCGGATCAAAATAATCCTACGTCCACCAGAGAATAGTTGCCTTTTTAATATTAACAAAGGAAAGGGAGAGTTCTCAATTATACTTAAGAGAATTTCTCTCTTAACTCTCTACTCACTACAATGTGTTGTATTATTTTTGGGATGGTTTCTACAAATGAAGGAGTGCATATATTTATAGAGGTAAAGACCTCCTCTTGATGTCATTGGTGACATCAAACTACCTCCTCTTGATGTCATGGGTGACATCAAAGGAGGAAGCTTCCTCCTAGCATCCACACCAACTCTTTCCACCAACTCTTCCAATTGGCATGCCATTGTTGACTAAATATGAACCAACACCTTCAATCTCCACCTTGGTTTGCGTATCGAGCGTGCGTGTGAACAACTCTGGCCAAAACTTCTAAGCTTACTGGGCAACCCCGTTGTAA